TTAATGGATCACCTTCTTAAAATTTTATTTTTTCTATAATACCCTTGTAATAGGGGATAACATTCTTTCTTTGTTACATTGGGGATATAGTAAGTTGGAATTTCATTTTTTTTTTCCCAGAACAATAGAGAATCTTATATAAATTAAAATGCACAAATGTGCGAAGATACAACTCCTAGTTGAATAGAACAACCAAAAGTTGAATAAAATGGGAGGACATGTCGGATGACCGCCTAGAATCCCGACTCTAGCAACGCTAGAAACTAAAATCAAGACTCACGAGACAACTAACACAACAAATACTTAAAAAAAAATTACAAAGCTCTCAACATGAGAATATAGACAAGAGTTGATCCCAAAAGGGTAATGCCGGCTCCCAATATGGCTTACAGAGGCCAACGGCCCAAACAAAAAACAATAGTCCTAAGAGACACAAACACTACCACACAAAACAAACTAAAGCAAATGAACCCAAAAAACCAACAAACAAAGCCCTTCCCCAGCAGAAAGATCGAGTCGAACCAACAGATGAACAATCGATTTCAAAGAGAGGTCCAAAGGCCCAATAACCGCAACTGAAACTGTCGAACCGCCTAGTTGAAGCCGAAACCAAGTCTAAAACCAAACCCCAACAAAGATCCGTCCTCGACCAGAGAAAACCAACACCCTCTACTAGCTAACACCACTAGTCGAGACCAGCACCGCCCACCTGCCTAATACCACTAGTTGAGTACAGTCGCGCCAGCTCTCCCGAACCCAACAAAAGAGAACATGGAAGAGATGAGCAGGTGTCCCTCCCCCACCCCCCCACCCCCCACGGCTCAGACCACCCCGACGTGAGCGCCACGAGCAGCCTGAACCTCGCCCCACTCTGCAACCTACAAATCACCCAGCGTCGCGGCAGCTCCGGGAAGCTGATGACCGGAACCCGCGAGACCTCACCTGGAGAAGTGAAGCCCCACCGAATCCCAGCAGCCACTAACGCGAAACAAGAAGGGAAGACCACAGGAGCAGCCACCATCGCGAACGGAGAAGGGAAGACCACCGAAGCAGGCACCATCAAGAACAGAGAAGGGAAGACCATCGGGCCGCTGGAGACGCAAAAATCAGAGAGAGGGATGAGCCGTTGGGGCGACCACCGGTCAGAACATTGATTTCGTCGAGGAAGACGAACGACGGAAGCTCAGAGAAGAATGACGAGCTGCCATTTGATTTGGGCTATTTCGGGGATAGAGTGGGGGGACTTCAAGGATGATAATTTTAGACTAGCTGAGTGGTGAGAAAAGGTGTGTAATGGCAAAAAACTGTCCAGGATGAAGGAGAGATTGTCTCTGTCAGTATGTTTGTTCTAGAGATTGTGGAAGGCTAGAAACAACTTGGTGTTTGGGAAAGAATCATTCATGGAACAAGAAGTTGTGGTAGGAGCTAAAGAGATTGGTTAGAGTCATCTGAGATGGTTAGCATAGGTCAAGCTGATAAGATTATGCAGGAATCCACTTCTGATATTGATGATGAAGAAGAATTTTCCAAGATGGTAGGACTTGTTGATATACAAGTTAGTGCCATAACTTCCTCAAAAGGCAAAACAGGAGCAACACTAGTGGCAAAACTTCATGAAAGGTGATCCTGGAAGCAAAGGAAAGCTGGAGTTGGGCTAGAAAAATTTGGGAGGCTAATCTATTAACTGTTAGATGGGAATTTGGTATTGTAAAGACAAATGGTTGGTCTACAGTGAGGTGTTCTGTGGATTCAATGAAGCTTATTGCTGTTTTGAACTCTGGCTTTACTTCATCTGATATGACCTTATCAATGCACTATTGGTTGAAGACATTTTCATGCTTATTCATTGTTGTTCTTCTTGTATTTTAAGTGGCCTTGCTTATTTTGATCCTTGCATTAGGTTGGCCAGATTGGCTTTGGAGGAGCCATAGTTTACTTAGGGGGCGATTGTTTATAGTTTCAACAGTAAAAAAACCAATCAAAACTCAAATTTAACTCAACTTTAACTCAACTTCACTATCTCTCATATTATCAATATAATTAAATAATATCAACCAATCATTTTTACACATCACATCAACTTTAATTCACTATTCATTCACTCACATAATTTTAACTAACCATCAATTCCAATCATTTTTTTCATACTTTATATCACATCAACTTTAATTATTTTATTTAAATATTATTTTAATACATCCACTAACAACTAACCATACCGCTTTTTTTAAAGTTAACTATAGTTAAAAAACAAACCAAATAAAACTAGTTGAATTCATAAACAATCACACCCTTAATCTCTGGGTTATTTCCTCTCTATGGTGTAATAGAGTAGGTGGTTTGTGTTCAGTTGATCAACCTCTTGTATTTATTTGAGTTAGTAATATATGTTTCTCTTTATCCATTGCAATTGATGCTGGAAGAGCCATTATTGACAATTCTCCTGGCATAGTGCTAATAATGGACTAGATCAAAATGACTCAATTAAATTCTAGTGCTTCTTCTATTAGTGAAGTTTCTAGAAAAAGAAATATATCAAACGGCACAATGCACCACGGAAACAGCCTCCTTGTATAATTACAAGGATAAGGTCTGCGTACAACTGACCTCTCAGACCCCAACTTGTTGGGAATATATTGGGTATGTTGTCGTCGTCGTTGTTGTTGTTGTTGTTGTTTGTAATATATGTTTCTCGTTGAAAAAAAAAAAAAACTTGCATAAAAGTTGATCGTACTATTATTTTATATTTTTGTTCGGAAACATGAACTTCCATTTCATTACTTATTCTGCAGTTTCAAATATTGAGAACATTGACATTCCATATATTTCAAAGTATTGTCAAAATTTCATGTTCATATAAATTGATTCCCTATTATGACCTACCAAAATTAATGAATCAACCGAGTATAAAAACTAAACTATTCTTATTTCTGGATAAATTCCATAAATACACAAAATTTAATTATTATTTGCAAAATTAATATACATAATATTTTGAAAATATAAAATATGTATATTCAAGGTCATTAATAACAAATTAAAATTCAAGACTTGAAATTACAAAAGAGCATATATTCAAGTCCGAATTGGCGTTTTGGACGATGGAAGCGTTGTTTTTTTTTTTAAAAAATGATAGACTTTATACTAACAACTCAAATATTTACAAACTAGAACAACCAGAACCAGCCGAATCCATCAGTTACTACGTTGAATCTAGAAGGAGGTCTACCATAAGGTAGCTTAGAAAGCCAACAACATAAACACAACAAAACTA